TTGACTATTGGCTCCTCAAATTCTCCATCCAACATTTCAACATATTTTTGAGTGCTAGTAGATTAAAAATAAATCAAGAAGGGGAGGGAAGATTATACTCAGAAAATTAAGAAGCAAAAAGTTCTGCAAGTATATCTGCTCATGAGCAGAAAAAGACTTATCAGAACTACAATATTCTCTGAGATACGACAGCATCCCACAATCATCCCAGCAAAGTAAATACCGCAAGTGACGCAGGCAACTGAAAATAAATTTGATGAACGACAATTACTTGTATTGCATCAAATACACTGATTCAAAAATTTAGCCATTCCTAAGAGGCTACGTGACTTCATTTGAAAGCTTGTAAAAAGATTTTCAAGGTCAAGAGTGGCCAAAGAATTTCAAAAGTAATTTATTCAATATATTAAATTGAGAAAATGTTGTGTAATTCTGCAGAATGATTCTGCTTGTCTTAGAGACAGTCCAGGCCCTCTCATCTACAGGGTCAGGCTTTTTAAAAAAAGCCAAGTACAAAATGGTCATTTTCAAAATTAATGCTTGAATGCGAAACAAATTGTTACTGAAATTATTTAGCTGAATATTGTACCTATTGCAATCTGAAATGAAGTAATCAATACTATCTTAATATTACTTATCTTATGTAAGCATTCTCATCAGCTACCATGATTTAGAAGATTGTTGAACTAATTGGCTTATCATACCTGTCAACATTAATTCAATACCATTCCAAGGTAATAATCAGTATCAATCTAATTATATCAGCAGTCTCCTGTAAACGAGTACCAATTATTTTAATTAAAATATTAAATATTTAGAAAATAGATAGGAACATATATTAATAATTTATATGCTTAATTTGAATCTACCTGAACAAGCATAATTCCTGAACAACAAAGCATACTTTCTTTGTATCCCCCTTTAATATCTCCCAGCAGGTTTCCAGACACAAAATAGCAATCTAATGCCAAAGATAGGAAAATCATAATATTTATATTCTTCTACTTTTACATAAGTACATATGGATTTGGTCCTACTATTGGTCACACCCACTTAAAAACTCTTCCAAGAATATTCAGTAGATAGTTTCCCTATTCTATAAATAGGTTGGCTTAGGTTTCCTACAAAACTTCATTAGCCATCTACATGGTTGGCTCTAACATTAAATCCCTCAATTCCTGTGCATTCTAAATAAGATGAAGTCCCTTCTCATTTCCTTTACAGGAAAACAACATGAACCACTCACATACAACAGCAATACAATTTCAGAGCTTTTTACCTCCTTTTTCCTCCCTTTTATTTTTAAAGCTGATCTTAGAAACCTCCCTACAGGTTTTCCACCATGTTTCACAAGAAATAAAGGAAATTTGTTCCATTTGTGAGACACAATCACAGACTGCAAAAGACCTTTAAGGTCATGGAGTCCAACCTTTGATCAAACACAACTTTTCAAATAAAATACGGCACTGCATGCCACGTCCAGTCATCTCCTGAACACTTCCAGGGATAGTGACTCCACCACCTCCCTGGGCAGTCTTAAGAACCATTTTTGTGAAGAAATTCCTTCTGATGTCTAACCTGAACCCCCCCATGGCACAAGCTGGAGCTATGGTCACTCACCATGTCACTAGCTGCCTGGGACAAAAGGCTGACTTCCACCTAGCTACAACCTCGAATTAATATGGCCAGCTCCCTTGAATCAACATAATTTAAATAGCAATGGGGGCAGGGACATCGTTTGAGGCAACCATAATGTGATTGAAATGTCTGGCTTGTTTTCTAAACATATAGCTACCATGAATCATTTGGAGGACAAGAAAACACACCACAGGCTATGAACTAGTATATCCAGGCACACCCAGAAGGTCTGACTACCCAAGAGAGCCTGAAGAGTTTTAGCAATAGTCAAGTAGTTTCATGTTAAAAAAAGACAGCCTTGGAAATTTTCATTCAAAAAGCATTTCAGATGACTTATTAAGATTACACTTCATATTGAAATCCTCATTCAAAGTCAAGAAACATCACTGCAATTATCATATCCATAATCTTTACCCTCTGATGAATATACATCAAGATATATTACTTTAACATAAAATTAAGAACACTAATTTTCTGTAACATGAGACATCATGCCACCCTGTACCAGCTGCCCTGCCCTGCATGCAACAGAAGGCATGAGGAAAGAACATTTCCAGATGGAAGCTGAATATTGACAACACCAAAGTGCATACAGCAAGGTATATGCTTAGCCTAATGAACAAGCAAATTGGGAAGAAAAAAGCTGGAAATGCAACATGCCAAAATACTGTTATCAGAGCTGTAAGTATGCATTTTTCAAAAAAAAGAAACTTAAAAGGAAATTTAAACAGCCAGTTTGTATTAATGTTGTAGTAATTTGTTGCAGTGGATTTTTTGTTTGGTTTGATTGTTTTTTGTTTCATTTAATAAAATTAGAGGCAATAAGTAGTTATGGTCCATAAACATAAAGCAGCAGCATTATCTCAGCTTCACTCGTGGCTAACTGGGTGACTCTTAGGCAAGAACCTAAGCACTCCCCAGCTGTGCTGGTATGTTCTGCAAGAACTGTCCTGGAGCTCCCACCCTATTTCAAACGGGTGTCCTGCTGCCCACAAAGGGTGCAAAGAATAAACACAAGAGAAACAAGTGGTGCAGGATACAACTGCTCACCACCTGCTGACTGATGCCCTGCCCACACCTGAGCAGTGATCAATCTCCCATGGCCAACTTCCCCCAATTTATGCATTGAACATAGTACAAGTTATATGGGATGGAATATCTGCTTGGCCAGTTTGGGTCAGCTGTCCTGGCCATTCTCCCTCCCAGCTTCTTGCGCATCTCCTCACTGGCAGAGCATGAGCATCTGAAAAACACTTGATTCAGAGTAAGCACACTTAAGAACAGCTACAACAGTGCACTACCAACATTCTTCTCATACTAAATCCAAAACTCAGAACTGAACAAGCTACTACAAAGAAAATTAACTCTATCTTAGCCAAAGCCAGGACAGAGGACTGACTCCAACATGAATTAATATCATGTAATTATAGCCCAGAGTTACCTAGTCGCAGTTTGTCCACAGTCCGCTTTCCTCAATTACCTCATTCAAGTCTTCATGGGGCTAAGAATCACAGCATATTGCAAAGCAAGTCTCACAGGCCAAAAATGTGGAAGTCTGATTTAAATTTTACACTTGAAATAAATTTTTATTGGGTAAGAAAAAGACCCCAGAACAAAACAAAAATTAAAAATGAGAAGAGACACGTTAACTACATGCTAATATCTCCCAGCATCTTGTTAGAAGACAGACATATTTGCAAAGTTCTTTATATTCACACGCTCAAAACAGTTATTAAATTAGTTTCTTTTCCTTGAACATATCATAGCTAATAGCACTAAATGTCAGGTTTCAAAATTCAACTTGTTACTTGTAGTCTAAATTTTGTCACCATTTTTCCTATAATCTACCTTTAAAACAGTTCAGAACTGAGAAACATTTTCACTATTTGTATACTTCACTTTAAAAATGGCTAAAGATATTTCAATGTAAACATTTCTTTCCTTTTCTAAAACTATTTTAAGGAAGATTTTAGCACTGAAAATAGTAACCTGTAACTAGTCTCTTTAGCTCATGTTAAAACTGAAAGCACTGATGCAGAAAGATTTCAGCAGTATTAAGTAAACGGCAATTGAAAATTACAATAGCATCAGGCATTTGAGAGGTTGATACAAATTTCTCTGATTTGAGGATCTGATATCAACTATTAACTGATAGTTGGCAAGAGGCAATTAAAATACACTTATTCCTATCCTCTGTAGAGAATACCAGGCAGTCTTCTCCCTGCTTATTCCTTGATGCCCCAGCCTGTTACCTTAATCCTCCAGATTTCAGCTACTGCAGGTAGAAGGGATGGGGCAGTTCTCCCCCACTACCCTTCTTCTGGTAAACTGGGAGGCAATGGATGCGACCTTTGCTAACCACCTTCCACTGCAAAGCAAAACACAATTTCCTTCCATAGACAGGAAAACAGTTTTGAGATTCAAAAGTACTACCAAGCCAGTAGTTCAAGGAGCATGAAAATTAATGGGAAGCTTGTCTATACATCCATCTCTTGCAGCTGTGTTCATGCTTTAACTGAAGCTCCTCCTCTCTCTACACATTTGCCTGCCATGGGGGCTTCTTGGGGACCTATTAATATGTTGATATTTACTGGGGTCCAGGCATGTGGGGAAAGCACCTCTGCCATGGGGACTTCTTGGGGACCTATTAATATGTTGATATTTACTGGGGTCCAGGCATGTGGGGAAAGCACCTTATGGGTCTCCTTCCTCTGCTGCTTGTGAAACTTGTTACAACTTCGTCACCTGGGAGCGATCTGCTTTTCTCTCTTTGGTGCAGGGGAAGGAGTATTAAGCAGAGAGCAATGTTGACAGAAGACTTGTTTCCTTAAGAAACACTGAAAAAATGTTACTCAGAAATTAAATGCAAGTTCACAGGGAAGCTATTTACACTTATATGTAGCTAATTATAATTATACAATTAGTTATGTATGTAGCTATAAATATTTATATAGATTTATATAATGCAATATTATAGATCATACAGGTAACTGTGTGTATACTTTTATTTACATATATTCATACATAGCTAATTATATGACGGATGCCACTCTGCTACATGTACCTGCGTGTGCACAAGTATACTCACACACATTCGAGGCAAGGCACTGAGAACTATAAAAAACAACCTGCCTAGAGACATGGAGTTACAAGGCATTCTGCAGCTCTGTAAGGAGGCTGCCCTTCACGGGATCATGCCCGAGAAGAGAGACTCGGGTGGGCTGGAAAAGACCTCTGCGATCAGCGAGCCCAGCACCCGAACAGCTGCGACCGCCCGGCGCCGCTGACCTTGCCCGGCCTCCCCGCGCCCGCCGGGCCCCGCCGCTCCCGGCCGCGTCCCTGCCCCGCGGGGCGGCACTTGCCTCCCATTCGCGCAGGAAGCGCTGGGCCTCGGCGGGCCCGGCCGCCCTGTGCCTGCGGAACTCCTCCTTGACGTAGCGGTCGCCCAGGTCGCGCAGGGCGGGCGGCAGGGCGCGGTGCAGCCGCAGGATGCGGCGGTAGAGGCGCCGCGCTCCGCCCGCCATGGCGGCGCCGTGGGGCGGCCCCGGGGCCGGCCGCGCCTCCTCCGCGCCGGGCCCGCGGCCCGTGAGGGGCGGCGCTGCCGCGGGCCGGGAGCTGCGCGCCGCCGAGCCCAGCAATGGGGTACCAGTGCCGGTAAGAGTGCGTGGAGGATGTGGTTTCACAAAGACATGCGGGTGGCAGAGATTGCGATATACACATAGATAAAGAAAACAGCTCATTTTTGGCTCTAGGTGCACCACCAGAAGGATGAAATGGGCACTTTATACCAGAGTAGAATGGTACAAAATTAATTAGGCCACTAAGCCCAAGCGTCATATGCTTAAATTTTGTTTACTTGCATTCTCCCTGTGAGACAAGAGGAGTCATAGCAAGAGGCCTTACTGCCCCCGCAGGACTTTGTGCCACCACGCTGTCACTACCGAGCTCCTGCTTTCTCCTACCCTCCCACTTACAGCTCAAACTCCCCAGCTCTCCAGCAGCTTAACATCACATCCAACTCACCCATGTGGAAAAACCTCCAAATGTCAACACTCATACATACCATGGAAAAAACAGAGTCAGGCAGTGGTGGCAGCAGTAGCAAAAGTCCTGCCTCAGTGTGGGTGAGTGTTAAGCTCCTTCCAGCCAGTGAAATTACTCTTGATTCAAAATAAAAAAGAAACATTTCCATAGGGCCGGGAAGCATTAGGCTTTACTAAAATACTAGGAAATTACAAAACTCTACTGCCTCATTGAAAGCCCAAGTCATTATATGAGAGCAAAAAAGAGCAAAGTACAGGTTATTTTACTGACTACTATTTCTTCATGTTTATTTATTGTCCTAAGCACTTCACTGACGGAATACTGAAGTTCCTAGTAACACAAAGTTACTGAAATAAAAGCAAATGCTTATAGGTTCATTATTCTCAATGACAGTCTGCTGTCCTTTTCATGCCAGTGATGCTGTCAGAATAAGCAGTTGGGCCCTGGCAGAAGTGGCCTGATCCTCAAATGGATTGGTCTTGGTATATTTTCAAACTGTATTTTCTGCAGACATTTCTTTGAGGAAGGATTTCTGGACCTAAAGCATTTTGTCTACCATATGTTCTTCCATATGTTCACAGTTTAAAAGGATTGCGGTTAGAAAACTGATTTGCTGTATCACTTACTTGCAGTGATGCAATTCCTCTGAATCATCGCAGGGTACATTCATTTAGAGAATTTATTTAAATATTTTATTATATCTTGACCACCTTACTCATGTTGCACATTGAGAGTTTTCTCCTTGCTACATCCACCCTGTGTGGGTTTTAGGAGTCCTCCTCTTCCATGGCCTGCTTAAGCCCTCTCCTGGGCACTCATTTTGCCTCTCAGATACTCACCAGGCTCAAATACCAACTCAGGCAGATCTGTGACTTACAACATTTATTACATCTTGTTTTTCTGTCCACAGAGACCAAAAGCTATTTTTGCCCACCCTGTGGGGCAGGTGGTTCCTGCCCAGGAAGATTCCTGCAGCAACTCTGTACCTCCAGGCTGCTTCAGCTGCAGCTCTTGAGCCTCATCCTTGCACCCTCCCTAAGTGCTGCAAGAGGAGTGAGGATTTACCAGTGAATTCCCCATGGAGCAGAAGATAGAGCTGTAAGTTCATTAAGCTGCTGATAACAGTCCAAGTTGTCAGTCTTTGTCTATTAACAATTTTTATATGCCTAAGTCCTCAAAGGTCTCTGCACTATCAGGCAATGTGGAGAGGCAGCAAAGGCAATTGAGTGCCATATTCTTTGTGTACAGGCGCAAAAGGACTCACCATCAGAACTCATATGATACAATATCAGAGGTATTGTTTCTATATAATGACTTCTCAGTCATCAGTACTCAAAATACTTTGAATCCAGATACAATTTTAGTTAACACATGAGCGCAACTCCTTTGCTTGCCTCTTGTTGGTGCCTGCCTCTGCTTCCAGGCAGCGCTGCTTCTGTGCAGGGCACTGTGGCATCTGTCCTGCTGCTCCTGGTGCTCCTCAGCCTGTGAGCACTTCTTAGCTTGCATCAAAGAAAGAGGCACCTCAGGAGAGTGTTCATCCCACTCCTTTTTGGATAGGTGGAGGCAATTAAGCACTACTTCCTTTCAAGTGCCAATAGAAGGATGTACTGTGAATGTACATGTACTGTGGTACATGTGATTTAGACAACACATAATGGATTATTCTGTATCTGACTGGGCTTTAGAGCACTGGGTCAGTGTTTGTTGTGCTAGAATTGATGTGGATCCTACAAAGTTACCAAAGTGTCTTTGTGCCATACTCCATCATAGTGCCTTTGGATCTGGGGGGATAGTGTCAACCCTGCAATAGGTCAGCACAAAGGCATGTGGAGTGGCTTAGCCAATATATTGAATCTCTATTTGCATGGCTAGTGACTGTGTGAGTAGCATCTCAGCCTTTTCCCAAGGATATACAAAAAATCTGTGGTAAAGCATGGATGCAAAGTGGTTTCTTAGCCATCCTTCTGAGTTTTTGACCCTGTGAATCTGCCAGAGTGGCCATGTTGTTTGCAACAGTCCTAATTCCAAATGTAGAAAGACTGGAGAAACACTTCCATGTTTATTTTTTCCTTTTATCAGTAATATGTTGACTAAAGAAGATGAAGCTGAAGTATTTATTGAGCTGGTATAATTGCTGTAATTTTTTAAATTATCAAGAGCATCCTGAGAGAAGTTCTTTTTGTGAACCAAAATAAATGATTAAATATAGAATGCAATGATGTGGTATTTCTTTCCAGAACTGGTGGTAGTCCTGATGAAGCTAAATCATATTGTCATATTTAAAATATACCCCACAGAATAATATGCATTTTTTTTCCTCTAAATTGTGGATAAATGTTAAAGTACAGACTAATTTCCTGCTATTAAAATAAAAAAAGTATAGCCCTGTTCCATGTTTCCTTTTTTTGCATTGTGCAGATCACAATAAAATTGCATCTCTCACTTCAGAATTATGATGTTTTTAACAAACTCTCTAAGTATTTGAATATATTTAATACAGTTCCTTTTTGCATGCTATTCCAGACCAAGGCAAGTTCAAAAACCAAGTCAAAGATCTGTTATGACAGCACAAGTTGTCTATTAAACATTCTGTGGCATCTTCCAATATGCCTCATAAACTAAAAAGATACTGAATTACCCCTGCTCTGTAGGAAATATGAACAGAAAATTAATACTTTCATAAATTACTTAGAAAAAGCCACGGGTACTTAGAGATTCTGAGGATGCTTCTGCCTCTGTCAGAGTGGAGTACAGTTTTGTCCTTGATTCAACAGAAGCAAAATCAGCCCTAGGATGGGACTGTCTGCTTCAAAACCCACCCAAAAGTTGGACATGCAACCTACTATATGTGGATGCTGCTGAAAATGGACCAGCTCTTTCCTCAGGGCTTGGGGAAATACAGCTGATGAAGGTGCCAGTCATGTTTGCTGCTGGCTGCAGAGGCAGCCGCCTGTCCATGTCTGGTCCAGCATTCTTCACACAGCCTTCGTATGCTCCAGACTGCTCAGCAGAACATGGTAGTGAGAGCAGGACAGATTATTTTCTTCCAAAAGCTCCATTTCAGTGAGGAAAAAAGATGCCATAATAAATGTAATTTGGTGCAGCTCATCAGGATGGCTTCAGGTACTCATGCATGCATCTGATAGTAGGATGAAAACAAATACAACACATTTCTGATGAAATAAATACAGCATATGATGATTTTGGAAGGGAGAGGCAGTCACCTGGTTTTGGACTACAGTCATTTACATGCTTGGCTGGTAGCTTTTGGACATTAAAAGGAAGTTCTGCTTTGGTTCAGCTTATGCTTGAGCTGCTCATTCATTGCAGGGTTTCTTGTGCTTTCATCTGAAGCACATGATCCATATCATCCAAAACAAATTTTTGACAGTTCCTGAGGAAGCTCTGCTTGCCTCCTGCAGACACGAAAGATGCCAAGCGTGTTAAAATATTCAAAGTATTTAGCTACCAAACTCTATCAAGTTTCTGCTTGAATATGTGAGAGGAGAGCTTTGCATCAAGCCAAGTGTAGGCAACATCAGCCCAGAGGAGTGCCAGGCTTGCACGTGGACCCTCCTGCTCACCATCTCCCCACCTTCATCTCCTCTCCCTAGTCTAGCACTGGATTTCAAAGCACACATGCAGCAGCATGTCTCAGGGAAGTGTTGTGAAAGAAAAAGAGAAGATTGCAATTAACCTTGTGAGGATTTTCTTTAATCTCATTTCAGAAACATCTAGTATTCAGTGGAAATTTTTTAAAGAGTTCTACTCAGTGAACTGATTCAAAATTAAAATTTTGGGTAGAATGATTAAAGAGCATCAAAACTCAATGTAATGGCAGGCAAAATGGTTTTAGGGGGTAAACCCTACACCGTCTTTTATAGATAGTGCCAAGTCAGACTGTGAACTGGAAATCTTTTTCACCCTTAAGCTATTGTCATTTTCAACATTCAAAGAAAGCATCCAAAAGATTGCCTATATTACAAAACATTTCTTCTACTTTTGAAAATTCAAACAGAATTTGAAAATGCCATTTATTTGGAATTGCTGTGTGTCTTCTTCTCTTGTGAACAATCTTTTTGGTAAATACAGTACGAGTTCACTTGGTTAATCTGCCACATGTGCTGTTCTGTTTAAATGCATTCAAATTCTGTAAAAGATGCAATATTCTGCTTTTAAATCACATAGTAAATTAATTAAGAGCAGAATGTTGATGCTGAAACAAATGCAATTTGAAAGCACACATTTTGTTATTTCAAATATAATACGAAATGTGCACCCTTCACAGGTAAGGCTTTGTTTTTCTATTCTATTTAGTAAGTCATTGTAAAACTTAAGGCCATGCAAAGATGCTTCCACAAATCCATTAAAATTCCACACAAAAAGAGCACATATTTTTTTATGTTGATGCTTTTAACAGAGGGGAAAAACAGAACAAGTGAGTAAAATATCAAATTTTAAAAATTAATATTCTAAAATCTGCAGAAAAGACAACATATGTGTGACTGCAAAAGCATAGCCCAGCCTCAAGGCATCAGGAGGGGAGCAAAAGCGAGTCCCTTCTGAACAGTGGCGTCCACGGGTCGTGGGAGCTGCAGATGATATGCTGTCAGGCCCTGAAGCCTTAACTCAGGGAATAAAGCTAGCTAGGCTACATTACTTCCAAACTTTTAGCCCAGCTTCACATTAACCCAAGAGGAATTTAAAGTGCAACGTAAACATGTTTAAATGAAGTTAGAAGAAAGCTTGTTGTCCTGTCTCCTGTTTTCATTAAATATGTTTTATATGAAAACCATAGCTTACACATGCAAGCTGTGAGGTTTCTCTGGCAGTATTGCAGCTTTAAGTAAACAGACCATAGTATTATTTCGTTTGCTTTCTTCCCTAATTAAATTTTTTTTAAGTTTCCTCTGCTCTCTGTGTGGCTGCTTCAGTTTTGGCATTGGTACTGAGCCGAAGAGGACTAGGAAGAGGACTGCTTTCTCTTTCTCCCCCCCTCCCTCCCTCCCATCATCAAGTAACCACAGATCAATTGGAAATCCCTTCTTGCTTTTTTAAGATATATAGATAGCAGACAACCTGTCAGAAATAAAGCATGAGCCCTGTGGCTTTTACTGGTCTGGGAGCCCGTACCTTCCCACTGGGAGAGAAACAAAGCCATTGACTGCACTGAGCATGGGAGGTGCAGCTACAAGTGTCTAGGCAGTGCCGCACACTTCAGAGCAGAAAGCAGGGCAAACCCAAAAAATTCGAAGCCAAACATAAATTTTGACAGCCTTAGGGAGTGATTTCTCCTTTTACTATGCTCAGTCGTTATATATTTTCAGGTTCAAGGCTTTGCTATAACATTGTTATTGTTTCACAAATCCAGATCATTGTCTGCTGTTTAAAATGAAGCATGCATAATCCAACATCATTCATTATTTTGGCATAAACAATATGCTATCAGCAAAGCACATGTTCCATCTCAGGTCTCTAGTTCTTTAAAAGCCTTCTGAATGCATCCAGTCTGTCCAGGACAATTTATTTTGCAGACCAATTTCTGGGATACTTAACTAGCCTCACGTTAAAACACTTGGCATCACCTTTGATTTGCAGCCTTGGATAGGCATCTCTTGTCTCTATGCAGTTTCTGATGTTGTAATCAATCAGGAAAACAAATCCAACATGAAACTGTGTAGCTGTGAAACTGTTTGTGCTCTTTTGTTGTGTTCCCTGCCCTGAAACTCAGCACCACACTGCAAACTGGAGGTGTATCTGGATGGCTACTTATCCAAGGTTTATTATTCACTGGATCTGGTAATATTTGTAATTACATTTCTGGATAGTCAGGATTTTCCTATGTGGTTTCTTGATATAACATCTTGTGTTAATGGTTGGGATTCAGGATAGAACTATAGGATACCACATTAAAAAAAAAAAAATTAAAAGTATTTAAATAAATACACAAGGTCCCTTAAACCCTTTTTATCCAACATCACTATCACTGTTAATCAGTTCCTCCCTCCACCCCCTCCCCAAACCACCTGAAGGCAGGATCAGTGGTGATCAAAAGACATGTAGCATTTCTTAGTATTGAAATTATCACCTCTGTGAGATACGGTTTTTAATGGTGAGTTTATTGCTATTGCTTTGTGAATTATGGCTTTTCACTTCTCTTAAACCAAAACAAAAGTTATTTGCAAAGTGCCACAGGAATAATTTTTAGACTGAAAAACAAGTAAGTTAGTGATCACAAACTGCTTGCTGCTTTGTGGAAGTGGCATTTGGTTTTTTACTTCTTTGAGATTTGGTTTTAAACTGAGATGTCAAAAGATAACTTGTTATTTTATGCTGTGAAGCAGTAGTGGCTCCAAGTCCTATCAAAAGTACAGACCAAAATGTAAGGAAAAAAATTTCAACTCTTTCAGTCTCATGTAGATAGTGATGGCAGTAGGATGACAGTGCAGACAGTAGAATGGTCACAATCTCTTGAAGAAAAAAGTTGGAGACTTTTCACTGATGGGATATAACAATTACAAAGTGTCCTAGCATTGTTTATTCTCCAATTTTATTTTCCCACCACATAGAAGTTATAAATTTTTTATATTCATTAGTAGGGTATAAAAATAATGTACATTTAAAAATCCTTGACAACGAATCTTGAAAGAAAATGTTTAATGGTGCAGGGATGTACTTCTGGAACTTATGGTGGAAACAACATTCTGTAGGACAGATAATTTTTCTATGAGCTCTAAAATTCATATGATTGCTGTGTCATCTTGAAAAATTGGAGAATCCCATCCAGGTCTAGGGTACAGTGTCTATTTAAAATATCAGGCTGTGATATCAAAAGATATACTTCAAGAGATCAGCACTTCAGAAATTCTTCAAAAGGACATGAATTGTACCCCTTCTGTTGTTCAGCTTCATATATCAAAATTGTACTCTTCACAGCTTCCAGAGGGCTTTGCTGGGACTCATTTACTGTCTTCTTGCACTCTGCCTTCAAAGTTATGCCCTGGGAGCAAAACTTCTCATTTAAGAGCTGGATTTCAAAGTGCTCTGAAATCCACAGGCATCTCCAACATGTTTTGAAAATTGTTACACCTCACCAGAGCCAGAGGCATCATTATCCATGCAGGTCTGAAGTCAGTTGGTCTAACAGGTCTTCAGATAATACCCCTTCTTTTCAACCTTCCCAGGAGAACTGCATTTTATATGCTTGGAAATCCACTGGGATATGATGCTGGTCTTGAAAACTTAGTCATGGCAATAATTAAAACATTTCACAGTATAAATTTGGAGTAATTCCTCCCTCCTTATGGAACTGCTAAGCAATTTTTGATTCTTGATTTTTTAAATCTTTTTATTTTGTAAACGAGTCAGAGAAATCTGAACCATGAAATATGTGTATATTGCAGACTGATCCTAAGCTTACTATTGAAATTTGGTAAATAGCCAGTTGAGAAATATTTAACACTAGTGATGGTTTAGAAAAAGTAAAACAAAATAAAAAATTACTTTTCTGATACTAGAACATGAATCATTTCTCTTGCTGTCAGTAAATACTTTCAATTCCTTCTCAAGTATTGTCTGCTTGATATATGTGCTGCTGTACAAGCAAAGGAATAGATATGCCACACAAGTAGTACACGCTATATGTGCATGTATCTGTTTTTATATAAATATATGTACATATACTTGCACCCACATGCCCCTCCAAACTCACATACATATGTCCATGGACACGAATACACACACACACACAACTGCATACAAACTTTTGTTACTGTAACTTTCTGAAATAACATAAAAAAAACATTTTTCCTGGCTTACTTTGTAATCAGATTCCTAAGGCTTTTAATATGGTGCCTTTTTTTTCTTTCTGGTAACTCTTCCCAGTACTTTCCACAATATAAACTGTGTCCTGTGTGTCTGTACTTGACACTCACCAATTGCTTTCTACACTTGCTCTCAAAATGTGCCTCCAGGTACACTGAGATTGTCTGAGAGTACCACATCTCCATTCAACAAATGGGAAACTTGAGAAACTGAGTCATCATGCCAACCTAGCCTTCAGTAAGACAATGTCAGAGATGGCATGACTTAAGGCTTTTCTGTGTCTCAATTCAGCACTTCAGCCAGTAGTTGATATTGTCTCTGAGGTTTGGTCAATTTTGTATTATTTCGTACTCTATCAGTGTGTCAGTTTTTATTTAAAACTTTTTGGACATCATTGTCATCATCCTCAGATAAATCACCCATACAAATCAATCTAAAGTCTATGAGAATTTTAGTAAATGCTTTCTATACATCCTGTCGAGGCTCTCTCAACAACTGAAACGTGCAGCTACTGAGATCTGAAGCCTTAACCCTAAAATGAACTGAAAGGTGCTCCCACAGCAAAGGTGGAAATGCCCTGGCAGCAAAAGACTTGAAAGATACTGATTGTCTCTAGTTGACATTCAGTAACAAATATATATCTTAAGGCATGATTAAAACATTCATTAAAGAGTGAAAATAAAACATCATTACAAAAAAATGAGGTTTCCCCTCTTACTCTTTAATAGTTACAAAACATTCTTCTGGTTCTTTAATTGCTGCTTGCAAAGGCTCTGTACTGAGTCATTTAGTTTCTGAAAGTAACAACACTGTCCTAGCCTTCTTATTGGCATTTACTCCTATGCCACCCACATTGAGCTCCAAATCTGCATCCAAGGATTGCTGAGCTGTGAAGACTGTATTTGTGTAATTCTGCCAGCAACCACCCATATAACCTCAGAAGAATCAAAGAGAACTAAAGATATGCTGAAACATTCAAAAGTCATATGAACACCAACTACCAGGAGATGCTTACAAGCTTAAGGATATTTTATACACATCCTGTTCCATTTTCTGGTTGGTCTTTTCAGGGTGGAGAAGGATGGGAAGTGGTCAAAGACAATTCTTTGTATTTGGTCATTTAGCAAAGTTGACGTTTTTTATTCTATCCATCTCATTTCCAGATGGTGGTAAGCCAAATCTCAGCTTTGTGCCACACTATGGGACTAGAGAAAGGCAGCTGAGTGTTGCCACAGGATGAGAAAAATATATTTTAAAAGAGATGAGCACTAAAAACTGATAAGAATTATTAGCATTGTTATATTGTTTAGCCATTCCACAGTTGGTTTATTCACTGTCTAGTAATTGTCCCTTCCTCACTAGGTGTGTCCTTGCTGAAGAAAATGAAGATATTTACCCAGGACCAACAAGGGATCAAGGCAAGATGAGAGTAGCTTCAACATCAGCATCCTCACCTGCCTCTCTTGGCTTCACCCCTCACCCAGGGTGTTCCTGTGTACAGTTTTGCATGCCCTAGGTAAGCTTTGTTTTGAGATGAGGCTATAAGTCTATAAGGCTGGAAACAGTGTTCTTCATGTCTAGAGTCTGGATTAAGTGTTCTAAGAGTGGTATAGGCTCTGTACTCACAAAAAGCAGGATCTTCCAGGATGTCTCAAAGTGAGCACACAAAATGAATAATGCCATTCACTCCTGAAGTGTAGCCTGCAGACAGAGACTGCAGTTCTGTGCATGCAAAGTTCTCTGGTTCATCTCTACATATGTATATGGAGAAGGTACATATTTATGCATCCACATATGCAAACAGATCTCTGTATTGAAGACAGGAATTAAGAAAATTATGTAAAAGGCTCCTCCTTACTTTGACTGGAAATAGCAGTGATCTAGCACACCTGAGGACAAATGTTCTTCCAACTGTGTTTTTAACCAGAGTGCTTAACCCTCCCACCTTTACTTTATGAGATTCCATAAATATTTTTTTAGTATTTAGCTGCCCCTCTGTATTTTCTCACTCTTCCTAATTAAACAAAATTAGTTGATTCATTTCAAGTTAAGTAATGAATTTCTCATCATTTTTACTCCCTAACTCACATGCGAGAGCATAAAGGTTGCATTGTCTGGGATGATTGGCTGAGTGGAAGATGTTTATTTGTAATAAGGATTCAAGAAAATCCCCTGTATCCACTGCAAATTATAAACATAGAAATGTCTCCATGAGTCTTTGGTTTGTTAAAAGAATTGTGTTTAAAGTTGCTATTTTTAGGTTTCAGTTTGACATCACAGTATCTCTTTAAGCAAATAACCCAGGCAGTGCAATGCTTCTTGAACGGGGAGTGAAGTTTACCAGTGAACATCTTCTTGGCTGGTCAAGACAGTCAGCAGATTTCTGGGGTTTGGAAAGAAGAAAAAAAAGCAAAGCTCACCCTTTATTATCTAAACAAATATTTTTTTAATATTTCTATGTATGTAAGTTTATAGGAAATATAAATTAAAGTAAAATATGGGAAGACAATAACTAGGGGGACTCCACAGAATTATTGTGGAATACACCCATGGACACATGGTGCACCCACCTGCCAGCATAAAAGACATAGGATTTATATCAGCACTGAACAGGGACATGAGTATCACAATGACTGTTTTCAGGCTGCATCCCAGTTACTGCAGTGTGAAAACCACTAATATACATGACCACTTGCAAAAGTCATGGATGATGTGGTGACATAGGACAGCAGCCCAGAAATCTGCATCTGATTTATTTCTTAGTCATTGTTAGGTGTCACTATGTTTAACATGACAATTATAACATGACAAGAGTTCTGTTTATAAAAGTTACACATATCAGAAAAATATGGAAGACATATCCTTTTTCTTGCCTTTTTTTTTTTTTTTTTTTTTTTTTTTTTGGTCTCAATAGAATGTAGTCTTTCAGAACCAAAACCCAGGATGACATATGCAAACAAGCAGCTTCACAGATATGCACATTCCTGTTTTGTCCTGCATCCTGAATGCTGCCAGTCAGGAATCAAATGCCAATTCTAACGCTCTGAAATTATTTGAGGAGGGAAATCCAGCCCACAGCTGTCCCATTGCTATGCAATGTACAGAAGGAATCATATGCTGCATATGGTCTGGTAAGAACTTCCTGCAATATTTTGATGCTCAGACCACTTTTATCACAAATTTCTCTTTTATTGCTATGAGGAGGACCCTTTTAGACCTTTATAATCACAGACTGAACCAATTTGTACATGTTTGTGTTATGCCATCTTCCTTCTCCCTTGTCTTTTCTTCCTTGCAACAGTACTGTGAAAGGCCCATTGTTGAGCAGTAGGGTTGTGACATGAGGGCCAAATCCCTTTGTTCACATTCCTTCATCTCCTCTGTAAGGGATGAAATCTAAGTGAGGGAGTGGCATGCAAAATTGTACAGAGCTTTGGAGCGCTCACATAATACAAGATGCTGCTCCAGTTCAAGCACATTCTTGACTCCTGCTAAACCCAACATGAAACAGTACTAAAGTCTACATGGATTGCAGTGACTGCATTTAATGCATTGTTCATATTTGCTGCCCTTACTTCCATGCACAATATTCATTAATTTTGGACGGCCTTAGTTTTCTTGTCACCACCTAAAAGCCTGTACAACCATGGACAGGATCTAGTCTGTGCTGTATTCCTTGGTTCTGGATTGATTTTCTTCCATGAATGGAAGCCAAAGCCTTCTCTTCCACACAGTTCCTCTTCTGGATGCTGCATTGATATACTGGCTGTATAACATTCCCAACCCAGTGCCACTTACTGAGTAAATTGCACAGCCTATCCATTTTAGAAAGCAAGCATGATGATTTCCAAAGGTGCTGGTTCTGCTGAACTGCATCATCTTGTTGAGGCAACACAACTAAAAATTATAGGAGCAGAGTTGATGGAAGACAAGGGATTTCAAAATTATACACATTTTGAACATAAGAAGTGTGAGCTGGTAGAAAATCCATTCTCATTGCTATTGTTAGCATTCACAGTTTCAGAAACAGACAAGTTTTGATTACCTCCTTTATTCATTTTAATAGCACTATTTGCAAGAGAAATACCATACTGCTGGAGCACCATGCCTTTGGGGTTGATTAGGTATAGTCTTCTGCACCAGACTTACAGAGATTGCATCACATTAAGAGAAAAAATGCACTAATATCAGTGCTGTGCAGAACTGTGTCATTTCAGGGTATCAGAAAGTCCCAGTTACACGTATCCCTTTTTTAAGAGGAGAGGAAGCACTTGTGCATTCTGGAACTTGTTTGTGAATTTTAGCTGGCTACACCCAGTGTAAGTTGCTTTAACTTTTTAAACTCTGGCAGCCACTACTGAGGACAACAGAAAAAAATTTGCACCACCAGAGGATTTGTGTTTATTTGTTTTTCAATAAACAAGTGGTATATAAATGAAACACCTTATATTTTCTGGTTTTCAACCTCTATTGTATTTCTTGAGATATCTATGAGTGTTGTTCTGATTTGTCATCTTGCCTCTCAGAAGAATGTCATCCCCTTTCCTTGTGGAGTCGACTCTGGGCTGTTTTTCTCCGGCAGACACTCTGACAGCCGTCTTCATCGGCCAGTAGATGTCATTGTGTTTCCACCGCAAAAGCACATCAAACATATTCATCTGGCTGCAAATGCCTGTCTGGTCCTGCAAACAATACTGTTGAGCATTTAGGATTTTCTCTACCCTGCAGCAAAATATTTGTTAAAAACACTTAGCTAGAAAAGAGTGAAAATTAATTTCCAAGCATTTGATAGCTGTGACTAACTAGCCAGAATACCCTTGGCTTCAGCTAGTGTAGTGCCAATGGTGTTATACAAACACAGCTTACTCAATAGGACACAAATCATTGTTAATAAACTATTACAAAAGATGCCAACAGTAGAAGATAGAAATAATGTCTCATGGATTACCCAGCTCCTTTAGGCAACCAGCTCATTCTACTGTGAGGTCATATGTTCTTCAATACTCAGATAAAGTTGAGAATTTATACTTCAAAACTTTTTAGACCTTCAGAGTGTAATGAAAAGAGGCTGTAGTCTGTTATTTTTCAGCTATTTTATTCTGGACCATGTTAACAGGTTCCAAATTTTCATGATATAATATTTGTGATGTAATTAGAAAGTTCCATTTGAAGTCAAAACTTGGTAGCAATAGAGAAGGAAACACTTGGCAGTAGTACAAGAGCTAGGGTTTTCCAAAAAGTCTGACATATTTTTTATCAGTAAAAACTCAAGAGAAATCATTTAACCACCATCTTGCAACATCCGTGCTGGAAATGGCATGGAGGGCCAAATTCCCTGCTGGCAGCAACCAGTGAGGCTCTGCTGGCTCTAACAACACAGGAGACCCTTGACAGATTCAGCAGAGAACTGGCATTTTGCAGTGTGTTTTGAGTCCCAGGGGCCAGTGTGAAACTGAGTGAGGTCAACGGAAATCTTTTGCTTTTTGGCAATGGGCTATGGATGAAGCCATGAATCAGGTTTTCTGCAGGCTGGCGCAGCACATCTGTCTTGGGGTGAGGCAGCTGAAAGGCATAGGCTTGCATTTTAAAGGACAAGCTTCATTTCATAACTCTCTACTCAGGCTTCACTAGCTCAGGAATAACCTGAGATGGCACAAGAGAAACTCTGTTTCTCCTTTAGTGTGGCTCATCCTCTTGCTTGATCATGGAAACATCTAAAGCTCTTCCTGGAGTGGGAGACTTCTGCACAGGTAGGTGGCTGGTTTGGGTTGAGAGGGTCCTTTAAAGATCATATCCAACTTCCACTGGCAGGGACATCTTTCACTAAATCAGGTTGCTCAAAGCCCCATCCAGCTTGACCTTGAATAATTCCAATGGTGGACAGAATGACTGGACAGTGGCCGGGCAGAAAGGGACCTGGCCTTTGAGACGCTTGAGTGTGTCCAGAGGAAGGCAACAGGCTGGTGAGGGGCTTGGAACACCAGCCCTATGAAGAACAGCTGAGGGAGATGGAAAAAAGGAGGCTCAGAGTGACCTTCTCACTCTCTACAACTCCCTGAAAGGTGGTTGCAGTCAGCTGGGGGTCGGTCTCTTCTCCCACGTAGCCACTGACAGAACAAGAAGACAGTCTTAAGCTGCACCAGGGGAAGTTTAGGAAAAAAAGTCTTCACTGAAAAAGTTATTGGGCACTGGAATCATCTGCCAAGGGAGGTAGTGGAGTCACTATCCCTGGACGTGTTTATAAAAAGAGTGGACGAGGCACTCTGCCATGTTTTAGTTGATGAGATGGTGTTGGTCATAGATTGGACCCGGTGATCTTAAAGGTCTTTTCCACCCTAGTTAATTCTGTGATTCTGTGGGTCACCCAAAATTATGGATGGGAACTGTGGCTGTTTCCGAGCTTGGATATGAGGTGATGGTATACATACAGAGGTCCTGTAAATGAGGACCCCTTGGACTATCTAGACCACACAAACTCTTGTGCTTGGATGAACAGCCAGAAGTCTATAGGTACTA